GGAGAAGAGTAAGCTTATTAGTCTATTCTGAATCATAAAATCACAGACTTACTGGATATCGATAAAGGATTTTTCTGGAAGTGTTAGTTTTTCTAAGGTGTACATAACTCATAAACTAACAAAATAGGCGAATAAAATTGGAGTTAACATTTGTGTAAAATGTGACAGAAGTTGATTTAGTTTTGTCCCATTGTTTTTTCTAATGTCTTGCATCAGTGTGTATCTCCATTTGTATATATATACATACACGTACAGGTGTGGTTACCATCATTGTCAATATCTCTCACTTTAAAAAGAAAAAAAAAATATGTCTAGTCTTTTCTGTTTGCATTTGAGATTCCTATTTGTTAACTGTGTTCTTTTGATTGTTGCTGTGTTTAAGGGCTGCTGATTCACTGGTGACTGACAAGACTTTTTTTTCCTGGAAATCGTCAGTGTCTGCGACTCTTTTCAGACCAGCTTGTGCTAATGTGGAAAGCTTTTTTTCTCCTGCTTCTTAAAAGCATCTGGGCTGCTAAAGAAAATAGTTTGTTAGATTAGCAATCAAGTCCAGTTAAACACTATCATTTGTACTCACAGGCCCATTGATTTGCCAGTTGCTCTTTTTAGTTTTTTCAGGTTGTGTTTTCAAGTGTTGGAAGCAGAACATATGTATTTGGGTTTTGTGGAATTTTGATGTCATACAGACTGGAAATTCATGTAGACTCTGCTCTTGCACAGTAGTAGAAGGAATATCTCTGTGATCCCCTATCCCTCCTTATCAAAGAATATGTTACAGGAACTTTGTTCTGTGTTCTAATGTTCTATTGGACAGATCACTGTTCCCAAAACAGAACAGCTGTGAAATAGTTCAGGAATGTGTAGAGGTGATATCCAGGTGATACCAATGGATTAAACTGGTGGCATGTGGAAGGGTCTCTTTCTCTTCTATGAGCTTTTAAAATTAGCAAGTAGATTTTGGAGCAACTCTGAAAGAAGGGATTCAGAATAAGCACATAGCTAATGGCATGATAAAGCAAGTTCGAATGTCTTGTAAAACCAAGGAAGTTTAGAAGAAAAATTCAAATATGCAAAGTAATTAATTTGTGTGATTAAGACTTTCACAATATTTACTCTATTTCATTGGATTTCTATAAAAGGAAAAATAATAACCATTCTCTAGCCTTTTAGAATGCATTGTTACAAATGCAGACATATTCAAGACATACTTTCACATTGTATGGTCACTGTAAGAAAGAGCAATGTTTGTATGTTTGACTGCATATTTCTTAATGTGATTTGGGTTTTTTTACTGTGGAGTTTTCATTCCTGCAGGCAGTGCTGACAGTAGCCTTTTATTATAGGTAGTGGATTCATCTTGTGGGCAGCTGGCCATGGATGAGTAGATAAAGACAACAAATTTGGTTTGAATACCTTAGTTGGTAATATGTTTTGTGTGACATCCCTGTGAGCTAAACCATGGCTTTTCCAGAAAAGTTCTAAATGTTCTAAAAGTTCTTTCAAATTACTTTGAAAGAATAAATAGTTTGATGATGTGATGAGGGTGCTCATTAAGAAACAAGAAAAATTTAAAGAAAATTCTACACCATATTACATAGAATGAAATACCCATTTCTATGGGTAGCAGTAACGGTAGTTACCACTGCTATGACTTTGGCAAAAGTTTTACTTTTCTGAAGAGGCATATATTTCATTTGGATATTTACATGTTTGATAAGAATATGTACTCCCTTATGTGGTTCTTCTAGGGCACAATGGTAAATCTTTACTCTCTTAATTGATATTGCATGTATTTTCTTCTGAATTAACTTGAGAAATAGCGAGCTACAGAGTGAAGTAATTTGAATATTTTACATTTGGCAGGTATTCATTCAGTGTTTTTTTGTTTCAAAACAGAGCTTTCTTTGTAGATGAGTAACAGGATCCTTCCTTAAATTGTCAGTGAGATGATGTTACTGTTTTCTAGCCAACAGTTTTCAGATACTGTTTTAATTTGAAGCTGTGTGTTGAGACCATGGGGTTCATGAGGAATATCTTAATCATAACAAGGGAGCAATTGTTGCTTGTGTTTTTTTTCTTGTGGATTTTACCTTGGAGCAGTTCCAGCTGTGTTAATAAGCCACAGGAAGCTGCAGTGAATATACATATATTTAAAGAAATTCCTTCTCTTACCTAATGCAGAGACAACTAAGCAAGAGCAGCTGCTTACTGAAGTCAGTTTCTTTTTCTCTACATGTGAAATTAATAACCAAGGACAAGACATGAAACTAGTTCACTGCTAGTAGTTGGCTGATTTACATCCAGTAGCTGCAGTTGGATGTGGCTTTCACATAGGAGGTTGACTTTGTTTAATAGGGAAAAAGCCATGGAGCATTAATTGCATTTGATGCCTTTGGACATTTCTAGAATAATTTCTAGAATCAGAAATCTAGTTTAATCTAAATTAAATGCAGGTCTTATTTTTTGTATGCTACATTTAAAAAGGTCAAACATAATCAATTCTCTTCAAGGAATGCCAAGTCTCACAACATAATTGATGATATATATTGACTGTTGTTGAAAATGCCTACTACTGCTGACTGCTTCTTCTGCAGAATACGTATAAAATTTGCAATATGCATAGTTCTTTGGGAATAAACTGGGGGGCAGGCAGGATAGTAGACAGCAACTGATAGTACTCATGTTGTTGTATAGAAAGATATTGTTAATGTAGTTGAACCTGCCATTTTAGAGGCCAAAAGAAGGTTAGGGGACTTCTTTTCCATACAAAAAAAAAAGCATCAGAGAGTTTTCAGTTAGTACTCAGCATCAACAGGCAGAGGGAGGTTTGGGAATTCCCTTTCTGTAGATCCCAGCAAGTGAGTTTTATCCAGCTGAGGGTAGTCATCATTAGTAAGTGTCGTGATTTAATCCCAACCGGCAACTAATCTCTACACAGCTGCTCACTCCTTCCCCTGCAGCGGAATGGGGGGAGAGAATTGGAAGGGTAAAAGTGAGAAAACTAATGGGCTTGGATAAAAACAGTTTACTGCTTGAAATAAAATCATCATCATCATCATCATAGTTGTAATGAAAAGGAAAATAACAGAGAGAAATAAAATCCAGGAAAGACAAGTGATGGAAATGAAAACAGTTGCTCACCACCAGCCAACTGATGCCCAGCCAGTGCCCAAGCAGTGCTCCCCTCACCAACCTCCCCCCTAGTTTTATTGCTGAACATGATGTCATATGGTCTGGAATATCCCTTTGGTCAGTTGGGATCAGTTGTCCCAGCTGTGTCCCCTCCTCTTCTTGTGCACCCCAGCCTACTTGCTGGTGGGGCAGCATGAGGAGCAAAAAAGCCCTTGATGCTTTGTAAGCACTGCTCAGCAATAACTAGAACATCCCTGTATTATCAACACTGTTTCCAACACAAATCCAAACCATAGCCCTTTACTAGCTACTGTGAAGAAAATTAACTATCGCAGCCAAAACCAGCACAGTAATGAAGGTATTTCAGAATGTTTTGCATTATAGTAATAGGAATGCCCACAGTACTTCAGAATGCAGCACTGGATTTTGACTATGGTGACAGTAATTTTTCTATTTTGTTTTAGCACTTTGTAACTTCATTGGTGTTGGCTGAAGTCAGGGCTCTGATGATACCAGCTCTAGTACTTAGAGCTACGCTATCTTTTTCAGTTTGGTCATCAAAACTTGAGAGAAACTGTGTAATTGTGGAACTACAAGGCACAAAATGGTTTGAGAAATGTTTTTCTTTTATTTCAGCTGCTGGAGCGTAACATTGGAAATAAAACATTTTATTTCAGAGCATTTCTTACTTCTCTTATTTTCAATAGAGTTAATATAAATGATACGTACATTTAGCATGAGGTGTCATTTGAAGAACTTCAGGTTTTTCCCTTTGAACATGTTTTGCCTTTTTATGTATCCCAAATTACTTTTACCCCTGATCCATTTTTCATCCGTTCTATGGAAAGAAATAGTAAAAGTTGAAGTATTCGGCCTTACTCAAATCTAATTTGTTATTGTTTTGTTCAGTCCTGAACAACATTTTTTGTCATGAGTTCTGTGTTGAAAGTCTTTCAGCCAGCTCTGTTGAGAACAACACTGCCAGATGGGTTACTACTTGAATTTCATGTTGTGGATGAGGTGTTGTGCTCACAGACTGACAAATACTTGGATTGTAAGAAGAATTACTTTTATCTTGTTAACTTAGAATGCTAATTCTAAGAATGCTAATTCAAACACTGTCAAACATTTCAAATTTGACCTTTACGTGCAAACAGCCAGCAAACACGTCAATCCAGAGGGCACCATTCCATTGAAAGGATGTTCCTGGGAAAAAGGCCAAGCACTTGAAACAGCGTTTTGATTTCTTACTCCAAAACTTCAGATGACGAGTGATGACAATAGGTCCCTGCTAAATGTATTTTTGGTCTGAAAAAATTTACCATTCCCAAATTAAGCTGCATATTCCTCAGGCTTTTACAATTACAGTCATTGTATTATTTAGAAGCTGAACTTGAACTCAAAAGCCTGCCATTTAGGTTTCTACTTTTTGAAAATGTAGGTATTATATAGTAGAGGCATTATAGCCTCTATGATGAATGTGTGTGTCAGACTGCAGTCTCCTATTGGAATTGTTCTAGTTCTGTGACACCTGAGTCTTTTACACACTTTTAAAATCATTAACATGATGAACAGTGTTTGTTTACACGTTTTACAATGTTTACACATTGCTGTCTATGTAATCAGGTAACATTGCTATCAGGTAGTACTACCACTGCTTGTGATTTCTTTGCTATCTTTTATCCAATTTTGTGCTAAAATCAGTCTCTGTAGCTTATGAGAAAATAAACCTTTGTCATATATCTGTTTATATATTTGGATGGCTCTGACCACAAGAAGGTTTCAGACCTATTTTGAGTCAATAATGCCATAATGCATACAGTTAGTAATAACAAAAAGTAATTGAATGTGGTGGTTATGTTTCCTAGGTATAGCATATCTGAGTGGAATGTGCAGTGAAAAACGAAAATGTATAATTGCAGAGGACAACGGTTTGAATCTTGCTTTTACCATTGCCCATGAAATGGGTCACAAGTAAGTATATGGCTAACAAACCCTAGTATTTGTTTGCATGTAATATGACTATGGTTTGATTAATTTGATTGTGTACTTCAGGTTTTCCTTTTTTTCTTTTAGGATAGCTTTTAAGTTTGATGAAAATATTGGAAAACAATATTCTTGTTATTAATAATAATAGTGACATGTATTGATAGTATGTAAATTAAGGAAATGTTTACAACATGGAATCATACAGTAATCTTTATAGCTACACAATAACTAGGTTAGCTGGAAGGACTGACATTGTCCAGAGGAAAAGCAGGTGCCCCAAGATGTTTTTTCTTTTGGACCTGTGGTATTGTGTATCAGATCCAGCTCTTGACTATTGTTGCCAACAAATATTTTAATGAGATCATGAGTTGGAAGAGCCCTTATTTAATTTGGCTTGCTCAGGATAGATCCCATTAAAGTGTATAATGGTCATCGGTCATTGCAACATTACTATTATTTTTTCCTCCCCTTAATAGAAAAGGATGACAAAGTAAACATGAAGGTAACTATCCTTCACAATTGGATTGGAAGTTTTTACTCATTCTATGAGGAATACTTTGAAGCAAAAGTGAAAAATTCTCATGTTGCAATAATCAAATTTGTTAGTGAAAGTTGTATTTGATTCACTTGTTAAAGAAAAATAGATAGAAGCGTTCTTATTTCAAAATAAAATAAAATGAAAGGGAAGTATGTATTAATTTGTCATTTTTACCTGCAGTGTCTGCTCCAGGTATCTGTGTATACGTTTTCAGAAGAGTAGCTTCAGAGTGACAGCGGAGAGGGATGCTTTGTTAAATCCTTTGAACCTCTTAACATTGAGGTTAGGTATCTTAGTACAAACACTTCATATTAAAAGTGATTTGGCTTAAACTTGGTCAAAGCTGTCTGAGAATGGAGGTCATATCAGCTAATGTTGCAACATGCAGTTGATTACAAGAAAGAATTGGAACTTAAAATACTTCTATTTAATTTTTTTCCTGGATGCAAAATAAGCGAATTCAGTGCAATTATGTAACTTGGAGGAAAAGGGTGACTTAAGTATAAGATGCTGTATGAAATTGATCTTTTCTGTTTTTTCTTGAGTTTTCGTAACTCCAGGTTAATATATGCCAGCCTGTTTGAGTGATAATTATGATAAAGGAAAGAATTCAGATGAAAAAATTTGTTTGTGTTTTGTAGCTACCTGCTGTCCTTCTTCTTTCTTTCACTGTAGTGTTTGCTAATATTGGAAGCGGGGTGGGTAGAGGAAGACTCATTTGCCGTACACTTGTTCTTATGACAGAAACAATAACTGTATATCATCTGCAGATAAGTTCACTGATGGAGTAAATTAGAAAATTGTTTGAGGTGGGTATGATAATGCCAGATAATTTACAGAAATATAAGTACTGCTTTGTGTCCTGCACAATAAAGATATGTTTAGAGAATAAAAAGCTTGGCAGCTGAATTTCTGGATTTGAAAAAAGAGGCATCTTGATCAACAAGAGATCAACAAAATCTTAGATACAGAAAACAGGAAGCAGGTATAAAATTTCTGCAAAGTTATGGGCAATGTGTTGGTTCTGCAGTAGCAAGTTTGAGAATATGGGGTACTGGTCTTATAAAGAAGGCTTCATCTTGCAGCAGCAAATTCAGACCTATCTTTGACATTCTAAGGGCTGCTGGATGCAAAGCAGTATCTGGAACAAGTTAGACAGGGAAGATCACTATTGCTGCCTAGCATTTCTTCCAAGACTGCTGCACAGGCCAGGCTCTATAACACTTGTTACATTCAGTCCTTAACTTAAAATATTTTTCTGGCTTTGCATTGCTGTGGGACTGAGGAAGAGAGAGGATTTAGCATGATCTTCCTACAGGGACATAAAAACTAAATTGCTGATATATGAATCCTGGGAAAAAATGTCAGAGGCTACACTATGAAATTTCAGAACTTTCAAATCCCTCCCTATTAATTCAAATAAATTTGAAAAAACAAATCATGATGATATCCTAGCCATCATATTCTCACAGTAATAATGGCATTTGGATGTCCCTAGAGACATTCACATTTCTCTGCAGGTACCGTAATAGACATTTAAAAACAATGGAAATAAAGAATAAACCAAATCTAGTTTCATACTAGAGGACAGGTTGTTATTTGAACCATGCATTTATTCAAGAAATTTAACCTCATGAAGGCTAGTAACAAGCCACATAAAAATTAGGAAGACTACCTCAAAAGTGAAAGAATAGGTAGCCAGATAGATACGAACAGCTGCCACAAAAAATAAAAAGGGGCAGCCTCCACCGCAAAACATGCAGATGCATTCAGCTTGATCCCAGCTTGATCCCTGCTTCATCGTGCAGCCAGAGTCCTTGACCATTGAAATCTAAAATAGAGTAGTCTTGCCCTAAAGAGAGTAAGGTGATGTTCCAGAGACATTTGTTTTGTCTGCACACTGCCAGCCTAGCCCTGGCGACTGCAAAGAGCACACCGGTAGTTGACCCTTTGTGGAGAGGCAATATGAAAATACTTGAAGAGAAACATTTGGATGAAGGTACCATTAAAAAAGACCTCAAGGGATTAAAATATAATGAGAGTATTTCTAACAGAGATTTGTCTTCCTCATCTGTCTCAGAAATGGAGATTAAATGTTCACCATCTACACCAGTCATGTCTTTTTCTCTTTCAACACATCATGTTTTCTAGGAAATCTTCACAAACTCTTCACAAGATTCTTCCTGAATCTTGAAGTCACTTAACTCTTACCTTCTTTTTTTCCCTAATATCTTTAACTGTTCTAGTTGCTTTTCTTGCTGTGCAGGGAGTCCTATTCAGCAGCATAGGAGAATCATAGGATCATAAAATCCTAGGCTGCAAGGGACCTCAAGGATCATCTAGTCCAAGAACAAAAACTTTCTCAAAGACTTTGCCTCTCAAAGTATGAAGAAAAACCCCTTATTTTTTTTGTCTTCTGTACAACAAATAATATACTTGCCCCAAAATTATCATTCAAATAGATTTAAAAGGTATGCAATGTAGACTCTCTAGATTTTCGCTGATCAGCTTGAGAACATAAACTAACATACACTCACAATTTCCATTGTTTTGATGAGTATAAAAGTACCTTTGAAAAAGGTAACAGTTTGCGTTTGGAGGGCTTGTTTTTATATACCAAACTCCATGCTGTTCTCTGTATATTTCAATTTCCCTTGTCTCTGGTAAAATCTCATGATCACCTGCAAACTCAGAACAATTTTGCAGACCTCTAATGTCACTGACATAATTTGCAGAATTACAGGTTTACAGGACTTTGGGGGGATGGGGTCTACTCCCTGCACTGAAATCTAGGTTTGCTTGCACAGGAACATGGTTGAAGAATTACAGTTAATTATATTGAATACTTCTGATACATGGATGTTTATTAAGTGTTGTGTTGTGGTTTTCTTAATTTTTCTAATTAAACCAGAAATCTTTTCAATGAAATACAATGGCAAACTAAAACTTACTTTGCAATTTGAAGTGTCTTTGTTCTAGCCATGTATATCTGAAAGCAGAGGAACTTTTAATGACATCAAGAAATAATGTTTTAAGTCAACTATTGATTTTTGAGCTCCATCTTGAAATTTTAGGAACCAATCTTCGTAATCAGAGATTAAAAAATAGAACACATTGATGGATTTGTTTTTAATAATCAAATCCTATTTATTAAAATAAATTTAATGAGCAATTAATTAATTATATGATAAAGTCATATTATGGAACAAAAACTAACAACCATGAATTCTCCATGTGGAGAACAAAGACAATAAGAGAGAGATTATTTCAGTCATCAAGTAACAATTATATCTTCATTTTACTTACATGATTGCTGTCTGTGGGATATGACTTCTTCTTAAGTATGGAGAAATTAAGTATATATGTAAACTGCAGTATCTCAAAATACATTAATTAACAATTGTTATGTTCTCTAAGTGAACTTTAAAAATTGTTCTAAATAGTTGAAAGAGATACTGGTGGAATTTCTCAGTATCAATTTTATACACATCCACATTCTTTTTCTGGTAAGCGTTTTGTGAAACATGAAATGTACCTATTTTTAAAATTCAGGATATTCTGCCAGGTATTTTGTAGTTCCAAACGGGAAGTCTGTGGAATTTTCCAATCACCTACTTAATAACTCATAAGCAAACAACATACATTTTTTGTGACAGTATTCAGCAACTATATGAAATCCAGTGGAACTTAAAGAGAGATTTAAATGGGAGATTAGGAAATGCTAATGGAGCATCAGTTACTCCATGCATTTTTGTTATCACAGTCCAAAATATGATAACAGAACACAATAAAATCAACAAGAATAATAAAAGCAGCTACCTACCAATCTCTGTGAATGACTTACTAATGTGGAGTAGGGAATGTCATTAAAGTAACTGAAAAAAGAGCTACTTTGATATTTATGAGGTTAAACTAGAAATTGACAGTTGAATTGTGTTTAACAAGGAACAAGACTAGCACATGGAAAGCAAAGATTTTAATTAGGTTTGATAGAAGACCTCCTTACATCTTGGAAATCATCTAATCACAAGTATAATGAGACATTTCCGGACCAGTAGCGGTCACTTCCACTGATAAAACTGTGCACAGTAAGATTCATATTAGTAAGGATCACTAAATTAAAGCATTTGACACATGGTATTTTGTCTCAGATGCTATGTCAGGGTATTTGTTTAGCATTTCTTTTGATCCCTTCTTGTTCAGCTGTGAGAAAGAATGCAGCCTTACTTGATAGCCAGGTGGATGTGCATATAGACCACCCACTGTTCACCTTTTAATGACTTTTATCTTGACAAAGAAGCGTAGAGAGGTTTTACAGGATAGTGGCACTGTTTTTCTCTTTCCGAAATTCCTATTTGTGGGGTATACCAAGGGTTTTGAGTCTCCTACCTGTTAGTCCAGCAACTTACTCAAAGGTTAGCTTCACCAGGAGAGGGGTTTGGGGATT